GGTTATTAAAATAGGGAAATAAAACAGGATATTTTGGACTGAGGCTTTTTTCTGATGAGCTGGAAAAATACAGACAACGTGGTGGTAGCTTTAGACTGATTAGCTGCTGAGCAAGTTACCAGCCAGTCATTGCCAGACTAGATTCAAAAGATGTTGGATTGTCTTATTAACTGTAGTTTATTAAACATGTTTAGCAATGATTTGACTGATCATATAAAGAATCTAATTATCAGATTTGGTAAATGACAGGAATCTGGGAGTGAAATATATCTGAGTTTGTTCAACCATTCACCCCCCCATACATACACCAAAATCATCATCATCATCATAAAAATAATAATAGAAATCATCCACAGAGCTCACTAGGACTGAGGACTCTGTTTTCCCAATGGCTCTCGCATGGGTAAGGGAGACCCTCCTAGGGTTTTGTGGCTGGGCCTGAGAATTACACTGACATATGACATTAACAAGAAAAGTGTGCCATACACATTCATTTAATGGTAAGTTTTGTGTGACCGAGGAGACCTCTTAAATGAGATCCAGGCTGGGCACAGTGGCTCACTCCTGTAATCCTAGCACTTTGGGAGTGCTCCAAAGGAGCACTTGAGGACAGGAGTTTGAGACCAGCCTGGGGAACATAGCAAGACCCAGTCACTAGTAAAAATAAAAAATTAGCTGGGTGTGGTGAGGCATGCCTGCCGTCTCTGCTACTCAGGAGGCTGAGGCAGGAAGAACACTTAAGCCCAGGAGTTGGAGGTTGCTGTGAGCTGTGATGGATCCACTGCACTCTAGCCTGAGTGACAGAGCAAGATCCTGAGGAAAAGGAAAGAAAAGAAAAAGAAGGTAGAGCCAAAGAAGCAATGAAACACTAATAATTTCTGAGTTGGATGAAGAGTAGTAAGTGTGAAAATGTGACAAGGCTTGGGCAAGGTTCATTATGCAGAAGTGATTAGAAAGAGTTTAACAAGGTTGGTTTGTAGAGATTTTTCTTAGCTTGAGTCCCTCCCCATCTCTGGTGATAAGAATTTCTTTTCTTCTCCAGGTGCAGGGAGGGTACCTTCTACACAGGAGTTTTATTTCCTGCTTTTAGGAAGATCAGAATGCCTTTCTTCCATCTGCTGCTGTTTTTTTTCTTTTAAAGTGTTTTTAGCTCAAAACAATCAGTGGTGCTAGAGAGACATATTTTGGGGTGGTGTGTTCTAACCTCCTTCACATGGCTATTGGCAAGAGGCCTCAGTTCCTTGCTGGCTGTTGGTAGGAGGCCTCAGTCCTCTGGAGGCAGCAGCCTCTCCAAATCCAAACTGCTGCTTGAGCGTCTGTGCAACAGAGCAGTTGGTTTTTCCCAAAGTGATGGATTCAAGAGAGA